GCGCGCCTTCCTGCAGTCCTACTCGCACGACGTGTCGCTCACGGCCGACTCGCGCAAGAGCCAGCTGCGCTTCTCGGCCAGCGGCAGCTGCTGCGACACCCTCCCGGCCCGGCCACTGCCCGACGAGCCCGCGCCGCTGCTCGGGGACCAGGACCCCGCCGGCGCCATTCCCGTGGATCCCTCCGCTCCCTCGGTGAGTTTCTCTGTCTAGATTTTCTCCACGACGCTTTCTTCTGATCCTCCCCTGCCCTTTTCCCTCTATGCTCCGTCGCTTGCGTAGGTTGGTCTGCTGAAAATGAAGGTGAACTTTTGTTTAGGGGCATTCTGTGGGCATATTCCTTCTGAAGTGAGGTGGATGTGGGGTGGATGCAGAGCCTGAACGTTGTTGGGCGCAGTATGAGAAGGGAGGCTGCCCTTGGATGGATGTTTTCAGACCAGGCCTTTCTTTTTTTCATCGGGTGTCAGATTGTAATTTTGCTTTCAGATATGGGATATTGGTTCTCTTGTTAGCTTCTTCTGAATGGATGGGTTAAGTTTTTAGGAAATTACCTTTAGGCTATTAATATAACCCATTTCATTCCTAAAGCTCATGCGTTTACTTGGGTGGGGTTCTCTGGGTATTGTAACTTTTCTTCTTTCATTCTGCTCTAAGCCTTTACGTTTCTCCATGGCAATGCAGGTTAGCCGGGAAATGTCTCGGCATTCTTCTGTTCTGTCATCTTTGAGCCGCATGTAGAGGAACGGTCCAGGCAACATTGACAATGTCAATCTGCTTGTCAGGAAGAGGAAAGGAAAACCTGGATGTTTTTCTCCAGATGGGTTTTGCTGATTTAGGGTGATTGCTGTGGATGACTGTTATTGAGCACAGGTACACTTTACATTCAGGTTTGAGAGTCATCTCCTGTCGCTTGCCTCTGTGCTGTGATAGGATGATGGTGTCTTTGAGCAGATACTTTGACAAATATGATTAAATCAGACCTCTCTACTGTTTGCGCACTTGATAACACTCCATATTTCTGATAAGAGAAATTTCTTTGCATGCATCCATATTTTGATCTCTCTTCTCTGTAAGGAAGACCTTTGTGAGCAGGAACCTTCCTTCAATGGTGACTTTCTGGAAAGATTACTTTGTTTTCGTGGTGTTTGGGCAGAGTGAAAAACCCTGCAAGTCCTGTGAAAGGGGACGTGAAAATTTTCCTCTGGTGTAATTTGGAATGTCTAAGAGATGTAAAAATGATGGAAAAGTTCAGGTTTTCCTATTTATAATTTGAGGGAAAGAGTTATGGTTCTGTGTCCAGGCAGATTAGGCCGTGGCTGTGGTCCTTGGTGTGAGCTCCTGTGTAAGTGTCCTCTCGATCTTTCACTAATCTGACGCACTTCTGGTGTACTTGCTCCAGTTCACATCCTCTGAAATGTCAGAGATTTGAACNCCGGCCCGGCCACTGCCCGACGAGCCCGCGCCGCTGCTCGGGGACCAGGACACCCCCGGCGCCATCCCCGTGGATCCCTCCGCTCCCTCGGTGAGTTTCTCTGTCCAGATGTTCTCCACGACCATTTCTTCTGATCCTTCCCTGCCCTTTTCCCTCCATGATCCGTCGCTTGCGTAGGTTGGTCTGCTGAAAATGAAGGTGAACTTTTGTTTAGGGGCTTTCTGTGGGGATATTCCTTCTGCAGTGAGGAGGGTGTGTGGTGGATGCAGAGCCTGGAAGTTTTTGGTTGCAGTATGAGAAGGGAGGCTGCCCTTGGATGGAGGTTTTTTTTTTTCATCGGGTGTCAGATTGTAATTTTGCTTGCAGATATGGGATATTGGTTCTCCTGTTAGCTTCTTCTGAATGGATGGGTTAAGTTTTTAGGAAATTACCTTTAGGCTATTAATATAATCCATTTCTTTCCTAAAGCTCATGCGTTTACTTGGGTGGGGTTCTCTGGGTATTGTAACTTTTCTTCTTTCATTCTGCTCTAAGCCTTTACGTTTCTCCATGGCAATGCAGGTTAGCCGGGAAATGTCTCTGCATTCTTCTGTTCTGTCATCTTTGAACCGCATGTAGAGGAACGGTCCAGGCAGCATTGACAATGTCAATCTGCTTGTCAGGAAGAGGAAAGGAAAACCTGGATGTTTTTCTCCTGATGGGTTTTCCTGATTTAGGGTGATTGCTGTGGATGACTGTTACTGAGCACAGGTACACTTTACATTCAGGTTTGAGAGTCATCTCCTGTCGCTTGGCTCTGTGCTGTGATAGGATGATGGTGTCTTTGATCAGATGCTTTGACAAATGAGATTGAATCAGATCTCTGTATTGGTTGTGCACTTGGGAGCGCTCTGTATTTCTAATAAGAGAAATCTCTTTGTATGCATCCATGTTTTGATCTCCCTTCTCTGTAAGGAAGACTCGTGTGTACAAGAATTTTCCCTCATTGGCCAATTTCTGCATAGACAGCTTTCTGGTTTCGTGGTATCTGGGCAGGGTGAAAAACCTGTCAGTCTTGAGATAGGGTGGGTGAAAATTTTACTCTGGTATAATTTGGAATGTCTAAGAGATGCAAAGATGATGGAAAAGTTCAGGTTGTCCTATTTGCATTTTGAGTGAAATAGTTATGGTTCTGTGTCCAGGCAGATTAGGCCGTGGCTGTGGTCCTTGGTGTGAGCTCCTGTGTGAATGTCCTGTCGATCTTTCACTAATC